CCTTAGGGTGCCGTCGGCCAGACAATGCCGGCTGGCGACCCCCAGGGGGAGAGCCTTCTCTGTGGCAGCTCCTGCCCTCTGGAATGACCTACCCCCCGACCTACGTACAGTTGCGGACCTGCGCCTTTTTCGCCGAGCCCTGAAGGCTCATCTATTCCGTGCGGCCGGCCTGGCGTAGTTTGATTATGTTTTAGTGGGGTTTTTTGTATGGGTGTGTTTTTAGAACAGGCCTGTTATTTAATTTGATTTTAGAACTGCCTATATTTATCATGGTTTTTATTATCGCCTGTTCACCACCCTGAGTCCCGTAAGGGAGATAGGGCGGTATATAAATTCAATAAATAAATAAAATATTTTATTGTATTTTATTGTGAGCCACCCAGTTATTTGCTCAAGATGACAACTATATTTGCTAAATAAATAAACAAGACAAGTATTGTTTGAAATCAAGTCTATAACAGAATTTTTTCACTTCTTCAGTTTATCCAATTGCTGAAATTTTTCTAGTTAGCAAAGGAACAAAAATGAATATGCTCTCTACTTACAAAAGAATAAGAGGCAAGCGTATATATCGTAAAACAAAAGAAAAGCCTAATTATTGCAAATATATGTTCAAAGCAATATATGGAATCACAAAATGATATTAACTTACCAATTCCACAAATGCCAATCCACCATAACTATGAGCAACAACAAATACATTTTCAGCTAACGACTGGGAGATAAAGTGGTCCCACACATAAATTGCATGTTCTTCAGGAGAGCCATTTTCCTAAAAAGAAAAGGTGAAAAATAATATTTTATTTGTTTGTACTTTTATTTATTTGTCAAATTTATATGGCTGCCATCTCATATAAAGTGACTCTGGGTGGTGTATAATAAAACCAGCAATTAAAACATTCCATAAAACCAGTTAAAAATAATGAACTTAAATAATGCAAGTTTACAAGAGGGAAAATATTATATATAAGACAGCTAGCATTAGTTAAGTAGCATGTTAAATTTAAAATGTAAACATCTGTGAAAATTAAATCGAGTAATCTGTCTTTTTTTCAGTGGAGGAGAACAACAAACCTGATTTAAAGGCCAGTTCATCATACTCTGAGTATAATATATATTGTTCAAATCCCTGTTTACAAGATACAAAAGCTTTTTAGGGACTTGCAACAGTTTAGGATTACCCTCATTTCTCTCTTAAAAAAACAAAACAAAACAAAAACCCTAGATACTGATCCTAAATACCCTTTTATAGCTCCTATCTTTAGGCCATTTTATTAATACAACATAACAGCAAACTGAAATTAAATTAAATTATATTACTGTTGTTGGGATCAGTTGATGGGGTACTAATGCTGTTGTTCCCCTTCTTGAATCTACATTTCAATATCCTACTAGAAAAAATAGCTTCCTTGATAGAATACACTGGGGGCTCTGGGTAGACTAAAGGGGGGTCTTTGGTAGAGATGGACAAAAATAAATCAATAGGAAATGTTGTTTTGTCCTGTGCTGAAATCTGAGATGGCTAGACACCCCCATTAAAATTTAGTTCAGGAGCTAATGATTGCCCACATTTTTTATTCTTTTATCATATTGTTATAAAAATGATATTGTAAAAAATGGTATACAGTAATGTTGTATGATATGATTAGAGATTAACATTCTACTGTTTAGGTAGCTTATAGCATTAAAATAGAGAAATGAAAGATTATCAATATTAATATTATCAATATTAATTACCATTTAGGATAATATTACAAGCATAAAATGCAACATTACAAATATAAAATGATTTGCCCATTCTTGATGTACATTAAAAAAAAGACCACAATTCAAACTTTAAGGGTGACTATTTAGTGGCTATTCAGTTTTCTTCAAGGATTTTGATCTACAGTGACTCCATTTAAGAATATTATGTTTAGACAGTATATCATGTTAATAGATAGTACTCATCAGTTCTAAGAAAAATGGAAAAACCTATCTTTTTACTATGCTAAAATCAACATTTTCACCAGGTAATTACATTTGTCCTTATTTTTATTCTATTATTCTTTAAAGTAGTGCTTTTTAAAGTTTTTGCTCTCATAAACCCTTCCCACTTTTAAAAATGATGAAGAATCCCAAAAGAGCATTTGATTGTATAGATTATATTTATTAGTATTTACCATATTAATAATTAAAATTGACACTTTTGTAGAATATTTTTTATTGAATCATGTAAAAGTAACAATACATTTACAATAACAAGTAAAAAACAATAATGAGACGAGTGATGTTGCTTGTGAAGTATGCAAATGACTTCAATATCTGGCAAATAATTTTGATTTTACAGACCTCATCTAGAAGATTCCCTAGATCAGTGATGGCGAACCTTTTAGAGACTGAGTGCCCAAAAACTGCCTTGCCCGTCCCGACCCCACCTCTCCTGCCTGCAGGGCCACCCACCACCTCCACAGCCTGCCACAGCAGATCGCCCAGGCGGCCCAGCAGCGTCATGGCAGCCACGTCCTCTGTCTGTGCCCTGCAGAATCATCTGTACACGATGGGGCACGAGGGTGGGGTCTTGTCCCCGCTGCCTGGCTGCCATGTCCTTGGCTGTGCTGCTTTGCGCAGGCTGCACCCGGGGTGAGACTCCTCAGGGGGGGCTGCTGGTGTGGAGGGGGCCATGGGGGTGGTGGGGGTGGGGCGACGGTGTGCATGCCCACAGAGAGGGCTCTGAGTGCCGCCTCTGGCACCCGTGCCATAGGTTTGCCACCACTGTCCTAGATGTTCTTGGAGCACATTCTTAAGAAACGCTATTCTCAGAGATCATATTCAGTCCTAATAGATATTACAATACAATTAAGCACTGCATAATCAAAAAGACTGAACACAAAAAATTAAAAAATCCCGGTGCTAAAATATATATACAGAAATAAAATTTTCTATCCACCAACGAAGCAAATACTTCATTCTCACAGCACTTCACATATATAATAATAAGCTGAGAAATATACAATTAAATAAACCAAAGTAGCCAATCAAAATGATAAGAGGGAACTCTGTGGTGTTCAAAGTAGCTACTGACTATGTAGACAGCAGTAGCTATTGTAGCCACACAATGCTTTGAAGGTTGTATCACAATTTCAATAATCCCCCCCCCATATTCCTGAGGTGTCTCAATTTCAATCTTTTTTACCGTTTTTTCAGACTAGTTTTGTCCTTTGTAACAAAAACAAAAATGGGGAGGGGGGCTTTCTTTGCATAACATAGATCTGTACTATTCTTCCCATCTTATGGTTCACATACCTATGGTAAACCATGGGCTCTAAAAACTTTGCTGGGAATAGAGACTGCTTCAGAGTAATTGTATGTAATACTCTTGGTTATTTTTGTGTGCCAGAAGTCAAGGAAATTATCAATTGTACAAGCAGGTAACTTCTCAAGAAATCATCTTGGTCCATTAATTTCCTGACTATATCGTTTCAGTGTCAGATGATGTAGTCTCCTTTGGTCACAAAAGTTCACAATGATTTTGAGACAGTTACTACCCTTCAATCTATCACACAGGGATTTGTGGGGGAAAATGGAGAAGAAGGTGCTATATACATCAGCATGAATTCCTGGAGGAAAGCCAGGATATTATATAAATTTAATACATTCCAAAGTAAAAAATTGGCCCACCTACATTCTTGAGGAGTTAGATATTTTGCAATTTGCCCAAAGTCCAATGGGAAAGGTTATTATCCCAGAGTTATGCAAATACGGTATTTTAATTTTAAATCAATTGGTTTTCTTTCTAGTCTGGCTTTATTTCAATTTTCAGATACCCGGAAGACATTTTCTGTATACAGGGAACATTTGCATTCACATCCATAATAAAAAAATGTAATTTCATTTGAAGCATTTCTTATACAGTTATCCATAAATATTAAACAATTAAAGGGACATCACATATCCTTGTTTTACTATGTGTTCAATGTTGGATAATTAACTAAGCATTCAGTTTATTCTCACATAAAGTTTACTTTCACATAAGTATTATACACTGTATTAAATGAGGTTAAAAACATCAGACCTGTTAAATACCATCTTATGCACTTTGGCAAACTTGGTTTACAACACTAGTTACTTCAAGTAGAGGCAAAGAAACCATAAGATACATTCCCAAGCTTTAACGGGAAAATGAAGAAAATCAGATACATTTTTATGGAAACTTTGAGAAGCAAATTTCTAATTGTATCAAAATCCTTTGCAGTAAAGGAGTTGAAAGGACAAACTATGGAAAACTGAATAGTAATACATCTCACTATCATTAAGACTTGTTGACAAAAATAACTAACTGCTGGCAATGTTAATTTTATGGTTAAAAATAAGTTAGCTACAACAGTGGATTTCTAAATAAATTGTTTAATAAATATAAACTCAACTGTTCCAACTCTCCCCTTAGGACGCCACCATAAGGCATTGAATGCCAAAACAACTAGACACACTCTGCTAATTCCCACACACTGTCTTATGCCTAAGGATTTTTGCCCTTGCAGTAGGACTGTATTACTATTATTGTTCTCATCTTTCCTATTACCTTTTCCTATTGGTATCTTATGATTATATCACTTTGTTTGTATGTACACTGAGAGTTTATGCATTGGAGATAAATTCCTTGTGTGTCCAATCACACTTGGGCAATAAAGAATATTCTATTCTATTCTATTCTATTCTATTCTATTCTATTCTATTCTATTCTATTCTATTCTATTCTATTCTATTCCATTCCACCTTCACAATGACCTAACCGTTTTAACATAAAATTCATGCACAATCTGACAAATTAAGCCACTTTTCAAAAATGAAATATTTTATTAATAGAATTCAATGTACTATTTAATACAATGAAAAATTAAAAAGTCCTGTTCTTAATTTTGATTTTTTAGTTCTTATATTACTGAAAAGGAAAAAATCATACATCTTATTATATGTCAGTAATTATTAAAACATTTGTCATTCCACTGAGCTGGAAATTAAATGAAAGATTACTCTGAAGATAAAATAAATTTGTAGTAAGAAATATAAGAGATTTTTCATCCACGTCAAAAAAAAAATTTAAACTGAAAATTACAGTATTCTTTGATTGGTTTCTTCTTTACATATAATATATAGAAACCACACAAACTGAAGGGAGTGTATTTCCCCTTCTAATCACACAATTTCTTGCTAATTCTACTTCTTTTTAATCCAGTCCAGAAGCAGTGTAAATGTTTATGCTTGTTTTGCCTTTATCTGATATGCCTGGATACTGATTAAAAGTATTTTTGTTTATCAATATTACAGCCAGAACCTACTGCAGCAGGTTATAGAAGGATGGTTATACATTACAGGTAGTCCTTGAGTTACAATGGCAATTGGAACCAGAATTTCCTACAAAAAAGAGAAAAAGTGCAAGAAAAAGGAAAGAAATAAACTGAAGTTACAAAATAAAATGACTTTCTCTTCAACAGATATTAACAAACCCATTGTCTCCTCTCCCTCTTAACTATTCCAAAAATCCTTTCAACCCCTAATTTAATTTTCATCTTTTCAATCAAACTCTCCCTATATTGCTTCTTCAAAGTCCAATTTTTGTTTACACAGACTGCCACTGGAAGACCATGCCTCGCACAATTCTGACTTTTGCAAGTATAGAGACATCATGCCATTTACTTATCTTTTCCAAGCCCTTCATGCTGGTCTACCAAGTGCCAATCAGTCGTGTATTTCTTGACTGCTCATTCCTTTACTGTTGATTCTAAAAGGCGG